CCTTCCGCACCCCTGCTGTTCCCCCATACCTTCCTGTGCCCCCATATTCCCCATACCCCCCCTCAGACTCCCTCACACTCCATCCCACATTCCCATCCTTCTCATACCCTACCCCTCCCCCGACCCCCTCCTTCTCCTCACACACCTGGGGCCCTGTTCCTACCATTCCAGGCGGTGTTTTCTCCAGTAACAACTTCCTGGAATCCTTGCCCAGATACCACACTGTAAAGGCTGGAGTTGGTCCAGGGAAGTAGTAGCAGTGTGAGGAACAGGAGAGTCCTAGGGTGCATGCCTGTGATAGCAGGCTCCGGGCTCCACCCACCCTTGTTTTCACTTAGTCCTGTTGGGTATAGTTCTGCAATAGGAGCCAGGCCTCAGGTAAGCAAAACCATTGACCAAGATGAGGCAGTGAAGGGACTCACATGTCACAAATAGGTCTCTGACAGTGCTGTGTGAACAGTAATCAGATAAGAACGGTTGAGGATCTGTGTGGTGTACTGCGGGGAAAGCCAGCCAGTGCACAGTGAGTGGACAGGTATAGGAGGCTGAGGAGCACACCTGCAGAGCCCAAATCCAGTGCGGGAAGGACCTCAAGTTGTCGACTAAGCAATTAGAGGTGCCGCAAAGATGAGGGCGTGGTGCGCGCCTTCATGTGACAGCTGTCACTGAGATTGATGACTAAGTTGTCATCAGGGAGATCACACAGTAGAGGGACGGAGGGTCTCCCACTGAGTGTTACAGGATTTAAGGGAAGGTTGGGGCTCTCACTGTTCTGACAGCCTTAGAGTAATGCATAGTTGTGTAGAAAGAGGTCCTGGCCAGTTCTGGGCTGAGAAGTGGATCCCAGGTCCTAAGTTGAAGTTCCATCAAGTTAAAGATTGAATTTCATAGTCATAAATCTCATTCTTCAAGTCATTGGAGTTCAGGCTGCCCCTCTATGAATGTCCCTTAGATCTTCTGAGAATGATTCTTACTGAATGAAATAACTTGTAAAAAGCAAGGCTAGAGGTGCGGCTAGAGGCAAGTGGTAGAGCAGATAGGCCAACCAAGCAATGCAGAGCAAGTATGAGGTGCTGAATTTGGCAAAAAGAAAGAGCAGCAGTGATTCAGAGGAGGATGGGTACAGCATGCCCTGGGAAGAATGCTGACTACACCATTTCCCATGGCCTGACCATCTCAGCAGCCCAAGTTGTCTTTTCTCCAAGCCCTACTGAAAGAGCCAAGGACTAGAGCCTGAGTATTACCAGGTGTTACAAACTAGTGCTCTGGTCCCTCAGTGCAGATGTGTAGCACCTCCCTTGCCTTGTGTGTGAGGCCCTCAGATTAGAGACGCTACAAGTGTGGTAGCTAGCACATATACATCTTGTTTGGCTTTGATTTGCTACTTCTAGGATTTTATATGAAGATACACTATTTTTTTCCAATTCCCTAAGGATAATAGGATATAAGTAAAAATAAAAGCAAGTGTTTAATATTCTGGTTTTACCATGAATTAACCCTACATATAATTTTAAGTATATAAACACTTATCAACACGTGTTAAAATTGTGTGATCCACTGAGCATTTCCTTGCCCTTAATTTTGGAAAAAGTCTGCCTCCCACATGGCACCTCCATAGCAAGGTAAAACTGAATGTGACTTATTGTTGAGATATAGTGAAAGGTGTCACTCTGGAAGTTGGGTGGCATTGTGGGAAAAGCAAGTCATCTGCAGTATTCAAAATAAAGGAACATGAAGTAAGATCTGGATTTTGGTGAGCAGTATTCATGGCTATAGTTGTTGACAGCAGTGGAGACTACAGCATGCTGTCTCTCAAGTTGTAGATGCTCACACCTGTGTGTATGGATGGTATAGCCATTTGAGTAATGGCTGTACGTCCTGAGCTTCATGGTTTTCCCCATTGGCGGTCTTCTTGGATTCATGCATCCATGGATACCAGAGATCTGTGTCTGTCCTCCTGTGTGTGTTCTGGGTGGGACAGACACCAGAAATGTCACAGTGATAAATTACAAGACGTGTTGACCATGAACAGCTGGGTGTCTGGATCTGAAGTCTGCTTCCCTGTCCCAGCTCTGTGGACTTAGCTTACAGGCAGGCCTGTGTGTGCACAAGTCTGGTCCTCAAGTTCACTAGAGGCGTAGGGGAGCCAGCTGGGGCTGGGCTCCCATCTGTGGCCCCTGCAGCTCCAGAACACAAATCACTTCTATTCGTATGTAATTTACACCAAGGAACTTAAGTTTGTGCTTCTGCTTATCTATGCTGCACATAGCTCACCCTGCTGTCAAATCTTGTCTCAATAGATCAAATATTTTGATAAAAGAAGAGACTATTTGAAGTTTAAGGAAAAATTTGAAGCAGGTGAATTCCAGCCTTCAACACCAACTTCAACGTGAACTTCCCATAAGGACTGAAGTGATTCTTTCTGCTCATTCAGAGATGTGGTGCCAATTCTGGAGCAGTGGTCACACGACTCGATTCCTGTCAGTGCTGTGATCTGTGTAAGGCACTCGGGAACTGAGATCACCAAGGAACAGAAAGAAGATGCCCATCTTTCAAATGAACTGAGGGATAATAAATATGCTTAATCGTCATCTAGTAAGAAATTTAAGAAAAAAATTAAAGTTTATTATAAAAACAATCATTTCCCTTTTCTGGAATGGGAACAAGAATTAGGCAAATATTTATAGTTGACACTTAAGACACTAAATAGGTTGTCATGTACGCTGGAGTTTGCATTTAAACAAAAACTGGTGCTTGATTGGTGTTAGAACTCTGTGTCAGAACCCCATGTGGACAGGCGTACATGGATGGAGGGGACAGACATGAGGACTCCTCACCCGTGTGTGCGCACAGGGCCTGCGCACACAGGGCTCTGCAGCAGCCAACGCAACAGCAGAGAGCCATGCAGCTCCAGCTCGTGGCATCTAGCAAGGCTCCTGGAAGAATGCAGGATGAGCTTGGAGCATCATTGTGTAATGTAGAGAGAAGGTGCTAGGAAATCATGCCCGACCGAAATAATGGGTGAGGACATGTCTTCTTTCCATTAGAATTCTTGCAAGTGTAGAGGAAATGAGTGAGGTGGTATCACCATTAGAACACCACTGTTATAGCTGGTGCCCGCACATGGGAAAGCCAGAGGACAAAGCCTAAGTCAGTGAATTCTATCTGTCCCAAGGATCTCCCCTAAAATAGCAATTAATTACTGTGGTAGTCTTGAGACACCCCAAGTACCTTGCTACCTCTCCCTGTAATGGGTGCTTTCCCTCCCCTGTGTGACTGGGCTGAGTGGCACTGCTAACTGCAGATGGTGGACACACACCTGGCATCCTGGGTCTATTTGAAGAATGAGGTGTAAGAGTAGTTCCAGTCCTTTAGGTGTGTGTTACAGGTAGTATTTGTTATCAGACACCCTCGTGAGCACAGGTGTAGGAGAAATTTCATGACTTTAGAATTGAACGTTAACTCATAGAGAGCTGGCTTGGCACTTTGCCAAATGATTTTCCAGGATGAGAATTAGAGTGCAGAGCATGGAGCTGGGCCCTGCAGCCAGACCTGACCACTGTGGGCCAGAGACAGCTGACCCCTGAGAGAGCCACTCAGGACCTCCCTGCTAACTCGGGGGACCCTCAGGGTAAAAGCTGTCTGCCCAAAACTAGTTTGTAGGAAGGACACATTTTTTAAAAAAACATTTATTTACACAGTTAAAATTTCTACTAAAAAGGCATTCCAAGTTTGCTAAGTGTTATTAAAAGGTAGAACAGGCACCAGTGGCTTATGCTTATAATCCTAGCCTCTCAGGAGGCTGAGATAGGAGGACTGAGCTTCAAAGCAAGCCTGGGCAGGAAAGTCTGAGACTAACCACCAAAAACCCAGAAGTAGAGTTGTGGTAGAGCTCTAGCCTTGAGCAGAAAAGCTCAGGGACAGTGCCCAGGCCCTGAGTTTGGCCCCAGGACTGACACCCAAAAGGGTGACTGGCACAGGTAAATTAAGGCACGAGAAATGCTTTGGTATTCTGTCCTCAGACTGAGTCTGGTCTCAGCTGGCGCTCTGCTCTGGGACAGGAGGGGCGTGCCCGGCCTGCCTTGCCCACTGCCGAGTGTACTCCCAGATCAGCAGCGCTGCGCTCACGTGCACGTTCAGGGACCGGACCACACCCTGCTGCGGGATCTCCACACACACGTCCAGCTGCTGGATCAGCCTGGCTGGGATCCCTTCCCGTTCATTTCTGTAGAAGAAGAAGCCGTCAATTCCCTCACACCACAGGCTAATGTCTTCCCTTCTATTCTTGGAAGGTTTTAATGAGAACCAGCGTGATAGGTGAAGTAGCTAAGCTCCAGAGGTGTAAGAGCAAGAGGCTGACGTGCCTGGCTGTCACCGGAGCAGCCTGCTGGTGAACTGAGGAGAACCAGGGGTCTCCCACCAGTGTCACAGATTTTCAGATTCCACTAACGGCCATCTGGTCTGGGTGACCACAGGACATGGAGTCTCACCATGGGACAGGCCCCGGGAAGTGCCTCACCCTAACAGGAGCAGCGACTTCTCGGGGAAGTAGTACTGGTCGAGGCCTGAGCTTTGGGCTGTCTGCTCCACTCCGATGATGGTGTAGCCTTCTGACTTTTTCTGCTGCAGATAATCAACCAGCTGTGCTGGCTTCACCTTGGCAGTGGTGTGAAAGGAGAGTCATGTTAATGAAACCCTTCCATGACAGCTGTGCTTGGACTAAGACCAGGGCAGTGACAATAGAAACTAAACTGGTTAAACAAGAACTAAATGTTATTTAAAAGAACTTCCCTCAACATCAAAGATTTCTAAGAATCATGCCTAAATAGAGGTATAACTACACATTTTACTATCTTAAAAAGAGCTACATGATTGATGGTTTCTAAAAATACAAGAGAAATGCAATAAAGGAACCTAAGAACAAAGTGAAACTGTACTTTTGAGGCAGTACTGGGATTTGCACTTCCCAGGCAGGTGAGCCACTCTGCCAGCCCTGTAGTGTATTATTTTTAATTTACCGAAGGCTGACTCAGCCAGGTGCTGCTGGCTCAGACCTGTAATCTAGCTATTCAGGAGATCCAGAGAACTGCAGCTCATGGCCAGCCCAAACAGAAAAATCTAAACAGATTTCATCTCCAAAATAACCAGCAAAAGGCCAGACTGGAGGTGTGGCTCAAGTAGAGCATTAGCCAAGTAAGCAAGCCAAGTAAACTCAAGATCCTGAGTTCAAACCCCAGTACTAGCAAGAAGAAAAAAGCTGAATCCTTAAAATTATTAAAAGGTAACAACCAAGCCAAGTATTGTCACAAACAATTTAGTGAAGCTTTTCCTACCCACCTCCAGGAGAGGAAGCCACTGTTCTGCTGATACGCTGAGGTGTTGAAACTGCTTGTCATGGACACACTGGAGGCTGCCCACCACTAGCGCTGCAGCCCCGAACACCTCGCAGGTCCGGCACAGCCCTGCCCGGAACAGCTGTATGTCACCCCGGGCACCCACCCACGCGAGGCTGGCTGTGTCCCCTCTCCCTGCAGCTCTCCAGAGGGCGAGGCATGGGCACAGCCAGAAAGGGTGATGGAAGGGAAACAACAAGCTGCCTAGAGACTACCACTTCACCTCCTAAGTTGGTGGGCTTGTCAATGAGCGAGGCCACCACAATCAGTCTACCCACAGCCTTCCCAAGCCGGGCAGCTCGGTCCTGGGCCTCAACTTCCAGCTCTGCATCCAGGGCACTCAGTCTCCATGGGATGATCTTCTTCTGTACATTGGTCCCCTCCACCTGGCTGTCCTCACCAGCTGGAGAGCCTAGCAGGGAAGGGAAGCAGCACCAATGTGCACGAAGGTTTAGTGGCTCAGAAGATGACTTCTTTGGGGAAAAGTATTACTTTGAACTCGGGGCCTCATGTCTGCCAGGCAGGTTGCTCTACTACTTGAACCACAACTTCAGGTTTTGTGTTTTTGCCTACACTGGCCTCCCAATCTCTTTCTCCAGTGTAACTGAGACTACAGACATGCACTACCATGCCCAATTCAATGAGATTTAATTGAATTTTAACAGAAGAGCTTTACTTGGGTTCCAATGTGTCATTTTTTAACAGTAATTTTTAATCTTCAAATGTCTTAGAAGCATGGGTGAAGTGGTAGAATACCAGCCTAACGAGCAAAGCCTCCAAGGCTCCCAAAGAAAAAGGGAAGGAGGGAGAGGGTTAACAGCACAGGGCAGGCAGAGGTGGGGATGGAGGCGGAGACAGATGACCAAGAGCTCTGCTCTGCTCCTGAGGACATGCAGGTGTCAGTTTGGCCCTTCAGAGAACTTGTAATTTACAGATCTACCTAGCAGAACAAATACTAATTTATAATCCTATTGGAAGGAGAAGTTTTATGTAGAGCAGATTCAGCCCTGTGAAGCTTTCTGCAGCAAAGTTAACTCACAACTAAAAGTCCTGCTCCGAGCCACGCTGTGAGCTCTTCTGCCCCCTCTCTACGCAGAGGCAGCACGTCCAGGTCAGTGCTAAAGTGACATTACCAACACCATTCTAGGTCACTGGAATTGCTGAAGTGGAGCGTCTCACCTGCATCCTGCTGAGAGCAGTCTCCTGGACGTAGATCCTGGAGCAGAGTCCGGGAGAGGTACCACTGGGAGCCTGCATCGGAAGGCACGTCTGGGAAGCTACAAAATTTGCCAAGGGATAGCCACTCCTCCTCCACCATGCCCGACAGCCGCGGGAGGGTGTAAAATATGGTCTGCAAAGAGAATTGTGCTGAACATGAGGTGCAAGCTAATTATGATTATGGATGGACTCTTTCCAAGCCATGGCATCCACTCCCTTACATGTACCCCCTCGTACCCACTCCTCATCAACTCTAAGGAACTAGAGGATTCATTCAGGGAGTCCCGAGAACCCCAGGGGTCTACGCGGGCACCTTGCCTTTATGGAACACCCCACTGTGCTAATATAGTAAAGCTCACTCCTCAGGGGAATGTGTCATTTTCTAGTGAGGGACACATTTGGGTTAAAAGAAACTTGCCCACAGCCAGACTACCAGACACCTCCATGAGCAATGAGCACTCACATTCAAGCTCCTCTCACCACCCTGAAAACTCAGAATCTGAGTTCTTGCTTAATTTTACGATTTGCTGTGTGACTGGGTAGCCATGTAACCTTTTCTGGCTCTGTGTGTGTGTGAGATGCTGGACTTGAACTCAGGGCCACAGACACTTTCTTGCCTTGGCTGGCTTTGCACCACAATCCTTAGATCTGAGCCTCCTCAGTAGCTAGGATTATAAGCATGAGCCATTGTTTCCAGCTTAACTCTCTCATTTTTAATGGAAGGATAAAACAAGATTAAAAGCACGAGAAGCTGGGAGGGTGTGAAAGTGCACACCTATAATCCCAGCCACTTGGAGGAAGACTGGGAGTCTGAGCCAACCGAAGCACAGTTGGCAAAAACAAAACACAAGCTCTGATCATATAAGCCATTTCAAAATAGACTTCAGGAAATGGAAACAAGGTTTTTTTCTTTCTTGTTTTCTTTTTGTCTTGTTAGTTCATTTATCCGTCTTTGGGAGAGACAAAGGATGAACAAAAATGTAGCAGCAGTACTCATGGATACTACGTTGAAAATAAACTAAACTTG